TGAGACGACTTTGGAGGACAGAGCATAGTAAGCACAGTAGTCGGGGGGGGGGGGGTGTTAAATGTATTAGATTTAGAACTACTAACAAATTGAAGCCAAACTCCAGCTCACACTTCATATTCAGCTTTAGCAAACAGTTAGGATAAAGGGTTTTACATGAGTAAATTAAAGCTGATCATTTTATGCACCTCTGCCAGTGTTAAGTGGTTTGTCTCATCCATGTAAACAGTGAAATATAACAATTTGCTGCCTGGATTACCAGATGAAAATAAAAGACAGCCTAAAAAGTAAATTAATACAGCCATCACATATAAGACTTGGTAAGCTGCAATTTAATAAATGTCTGCTTTGGGTTTTCATAATGCTTTACCTGAATTTTTGGATTTAATTTAGACTCTTTGAATATTAAACCCTTTCTCAAGAGGTCCCACATACCCTGAAACATAGGTTTATATGGCATTTTAGTTTGACTTAAAAATCCATATCTCCCTTTTGGTATTGTTGGAGCACAGGCTATGGTGACTATTTTGACTGCAGTGCCTCTTGAGCAATGCATCCAAAGATAAGTTTACATGCCATAGAGGTATATGGGCAGAATGGATTTTTCTGTTACTAGGAACATACACACAACATACACACACAACATACACACATGTATGGGAGGAGCACAGCTCCTGCAAATGTCAGATTTTGAATATTGTTCAGCTAAAGATTTTTCTTCACTAGGGCAGAGGTGGGTAGCATGTACAGTGGAAGAGGTGGGCATTAAATGTTTCCTTTACAGGGCACCTTTAAAAACAAATCTGTTCACAATTAAATCCCCTACCATGTAGTTACACAAGACATTACTGGATTAGCCAGAGAAAACCCAGGGACAAAGATATTTATTAAGAGGAAAAAAACTGCAAAAGGGGGGGGGGGTTAGAAAAACTGGATGTAGATTTTTTTTTACCCTTTTTTTTTTTTTTTTTTTTTTTACCTTTTTGCAATGCAACACCTCTTAATGCTATTATAATTTTAATGGTACCACAATGTATCTTCACTTCAGCATTACTACGTGCTTTACAAAAATGAAAAATGCACTATATTGCTAAAAAGTATTAGGACGCCTGCCTTTACATGCTCATGAACTTTAATGGCATCCCAGTCTTAGTCCATAGGGTTCAATACTGAGTTGGCCGACCCTTTGCAGCCATAACAGCTTCAACTCTTCTGGGAAGGCTGCCCACGAGGTTTGAGTGTGTCTATGGGAATATTTGACCATTCTTCCAGAAGCGCATTTGTGAGGTCAGGCACTGATGTCAGACGAGAAGGCCTGGCTTGCAGTCTCCGCTCTAATTCCCAAAGGTTGAGGGCAGGCCAGTCAAGTTCCTCTACTCCAAACTTGCTCATCCATGTCCTTATGGACCTTGCTTTGTGCACTGCTGCGCAGTCATGTTGGAACAGGAGGGGGCCATCCCCAAACTGTTCCCACAAAGTTAGGAGCATGAAATTGTCCACAATGCCTTGGTATGCTGATGCCTTAAGAGTTCTCTTCACTGGAACTAAGGGGCCAAGCCCAACCCCAACCCCTGAAAACAACCCCACACCATAATCCCCCCTCTATCAAACTTTACACTTGACACAGTGCAGTCAGGCAAGTACCGTTCTCCTGGCAACTGCCAAACTCAGACATGTCCATCGGATTGCCAGACAGAGGAGCATGATTGACCACTCCAGAGAACACAGCTCCACTGCTCTAGATTCTAGTGGCAGCATGCTTTGCATTGCACTTGGTGATGTAAGGCTTGGATGTAGCTGCTCGGCCATGGAAACCCATTCCATGAAGCTCTCTATGCACTGTTGTGCTAATCTGAAGGCCATACGAAGTTTGTAGGTCTTTAGCTATTTAGTCTGCAGACAGTTGGCAACTTCTGTGCACTGTGTGCTTCAGCGTGCGCTGACTCCGCTTTGTCATTTTACGTTGCCTACCACTTCGTGGTTGAGTTGCTGTTGTTCCCAGTTGCTTCTACTTTGTTATAATACCACAAACAGTTGACTGTGGAATATTTAGTAGCAAGGAAATTTCACGGATGGACATATTGCACTGAGCTCCTGAGAGTGACCCATTCTTTCACAAATGTTTGTAGAAGCAGTCTACATGCCTAGGTGCTTGTTTTTTTACACCTGTGGTCATGGAAGTGATTGGAACACCTAAATCCAGTGAACACCTAAATCCAGGAACACCTAAATCCAATACTTTTGGTAATAGTGTATGTAAATTTGGCCATTAATGCTGGTACATTTATTGGCCTTCTAATGGCACCATTGTACTTTTACAGTAAAAATATGTATCTCTGTAACATTTAAATACATTTTATATATTTTTTTCATTGCAAAATACAGTTGCAAGCGTTCTGATTTATAGAAAGGAAATATTAAGTGTATACTGCAGAAACTTTTTATTTCTTAGTAATAGAATTTCTTTTTCTTTCAGCTCTGTATACGTGAAACAGATTACTTTATGACACAGCTGAATGAACAACTCGTGTAGGAGTTGTCATTATCTACCATCTATTCTGCTCTATCTCAGTGAATTAGTGGGAAGTAGAATACATGCCATCCTTTATGTAACACGCTGCTGTTGATTAGAGTGCCAGTTTTTGTTTGCAGAACACCAAGGTTGGCATTTGCCTTCCAATACCGAAGTAATTTGTTGAGAAAAAAGAAACTCTAAAATTTATTATAAAAAACTACACATATATCATACAAGGTACCATAGGGGTAGAACTGAGAACATTCCAATGAATAAAGTATGTCAGAATAGTAAACTGAAGAAAAAAATATGCGGCATATATTACTAATTGGTGCATGACTCTGTGTTCTTTTTTTAAGTGAATATCTTTGAGCAACCTGTATTTAAAGGTATATAGAAGCTGCCTTTAATGACCTCCTTCTAAAAATTCCAAGAATCCAAGAGCAAAATAAAATATATAGCATCTTGCCAGTCCTTTGATGTGGTGGCTACTTTTTTTTATATTTTTCACCAGCTGAGTCTGCCAATAGAAAACATTGTTCCTGGGTTAAAAGTCACTCACCCTACTGTATCTATGGAGAAACCGCCCCTTTACCTTTCTATATAACATAGAGGAAGGTGTCCTATAGTTCACAGGGATAGATGGGAACAATTTTTACTGTTAAGACCACAACACAGGAAGTTATCAGTTTATATGATTTCAAGATAAGATCCGTTGTTTTTTTTTTTTTATTCAAAAAGGTATAAACATAAGTCTAAAACACTCTTAAAGGTACAATTAAAGTTTTACTAAACCCAGGATTCTGTATTCACTCTATCTGGTCTCCCACAGTACACAGAACATTGGAATGCAATTATTTTAGTAAATCTAAATTGCTAAATACCTTTTCTCATCAGCAGTTAGAGCAGTCTTGTGACTTCTATCAGTGTCCAGCACACCACATGTTAAAGCTTGTAGGAAGAGTTTTCATTGTGTTGTAGGAGGATGCAGAACCCCTGACCTCTATCTGGATAGTGCTGATTGACCCTGTGCTGATCACATGCACTCTCTCCCAAGTAAATAAAAACACCTCTCTAGCAATAAACACCAAACTGATCATGTATAGAGTGTCTCCACAAGATATGTCCTATTAGGAGATAAGAGGGGGACACTGGAAGAAGGGGAGGATCAGAGGAGTCAGGATCAAACAGCCTTTTTACACAATGCAGAGTATTAACCCCTTAGGTTCCATAGTGAGTATAACAAGCATGCTTTACTGCATGTACAGACTGATTGTACTGTTGTGGGTTTAGTAACACTTTTAGCAGACCAAAAAAGGAGCTAGTGGCTAAGTCAGCCAAAGAGTCAGCATAGCAGTTAACACAGTTTTAGTGGTAATTATTTATTTTAAAGAGAATCTGTCACACTGCCCATTGAGGGCAAATTGACAGGTTGTCTTTAATGCTAAACCCTAACCACCTACAGTATACTAACCTTTGCCACATTCCCCTACTGCTCTGCTTGCCCATTTGGGCCATCCAGTACTTCTGATTATGATGGAGAAATTACCTTCTTTTTCTCCTAGGATGCATTGCTTAGGCCTGAATGTCTAAATGCCAGGTTTGAACACTGTCACATGGAGGAAGGAACCATCTTAGTTACTCTGTGTATGCTCTAACACTGACCTACATGAAGCATCAACAGTTTAGGCTAATGGCTCTAATGGATGAACAGAGCCACAGAGGAGCAACAGAAAGGAGAGTATTGGTGATAGGGGTAAACTTTCACTCTGGCCTGAAAGGACAAATGAAACATATCCTGAGAAAGAAAAATGGTTAGTTGTTCCAAACTATCGGATCACTTTCCCATCCAACATAAAGTGTACAGTAAATCTTGGCTTATCTCTCCATGGTGTCAGTTTAACACCTTCAAATTAGACAAAGATAATGGGTAGTCAGCTAAAATGTTCCAACAGTGAAAAAATCTTGTTTACTGTGTGTTAAAGTCTATACATTTAAGAAGGTTTCTTCTTTACTAGCAGGTCCTATTCTTTGAAATGTACAATGATTTTTTACAAAGTGCTTATCTTAAAACAGCATGCCGCTTTGTGAGAATGCAGCTAATTGTACTGAAAGATTTAACTAATTTACCCTCTACTGTTCTCCATAAAAGATCTACAGCTTGCAGCACTTATAGGCCATTTTCATAAGACACACTGCTAAAACTGATTACTCCAATAGCCTACAACATACACTAATAAAATTGCTAAAAATGTATCTGTGATTTTGAGTTGCTTTTTTTTCGGTTATAAGTGGCTCTGTGTATCTGAAAGTCTAACCTCACCAACATAAAGCTATATTGTCACCTTTCTACTAATGCCTCTTCTTCTAGCTAATAAAATAACATTACTGTTTTCCTAGAATTGTAAAGTTTACTTGTTGAGACATTCTAATCCATTGAGTTGCATTCTCTTTGACTTGCATTATCTTTGTTTCTTCTTTGCAGGGCAACAGCATGTGTCAGTGACCAGTTTGCTTGTTTGCCATGGTCTACTAATGGTCGGTACGAACCTCGGTGTTATTGTAGCATTCCCAGTCCCCCGCCTGCAAGGAATTCCAAAAGTAACCGGTAAGTTCTGTGTACAAATCCATAAAATAATGTATTTGGTTTTGTTCTAAAAGATTTTATAGCCATTGTCTGACCACAGACTTTCAGACTTGGTGGCATTTATTAGGGTAAGTGAATGTGGAAATCAATTAATCCACAATCAGTAGATGAACCGAAGACTGGCCATGAATCTGATAATTTAGGGAATATTTCAGAAAGATTCTGTGAATATTCAACAGCTGACAAAACAAAAAGGACCAGTGATGGCAAATCCAACTTGCTGGATAATCATTCTCTACACATTATACTTTTTGAGAAATGTTATAGTACAAGTATAGTGATTATAGTATAGTTATAGTGATTATTTAATGTGCACAGCAATTACAGTCTGAAAGAGATCTACTACTGTTTATAGAGAAAATGAATGACCAATTACCACATTAGAAATAAATTGTAAGTGTCTCATAAAATCTACAATCACATTTGATTATTTAAATAGGGACATTATGTGATAAAATATCGTTTTGGGGTAGCACAGTGGCTTAGTGGTTGGCACTCCTGCCCTACATCACTAGGGTCTCCGGTTCAAAGCCTGGTAAGGACACTATCTGCATACAGTTACCTTGTCCTCCCTGTTGTGTTGGTTTCCTCCCATACTCCAAAGACATGCTGGTAGATTAACTGAATCCTTTCTAAAGAAAAGGCCTTACAATATGTCCATGTAACGTAGGGGCCTTCGCTTGGAAGAAGACTGGTGAGAATGTACAAAGGCAAAGTGCTGTGCATACTGTTGCACTATATAAATTCATGTAGTAATAATAATAATCTGTTGGGTTTGTTTTGCTCTCATTTCTTGTCCTGTGTCATTGTCAGGAAGTGAAGGGAACTGTAATGAACGTCTGACTGTTACTCAAAAGCAATGCCCTGAAATAAGCTTTAAATATTTGGTTCACATCATTTTTGTTTTTTTACTAAATAAAGGTGGGCAGTTAAATTTGAGATTGTAGTTACCATTGCATGGCAGTGTATTAACACAACAAATGTGGCACACAATTCTGCTATGTACTTTAATAACAGTATGCACCAAACATTCCTTATTTTATCCCAGTGCTGCTTTCTGTGATCTTCCCACAGTTTTAGAAGATTCAAATTTACACAGAGAGCCAATTCACATCACAAGTTCTGTGTTTTGGATGTTTTTCTGCATGCTTTTGATGCATTCCAGTGCCTCTTTCCCTCTTTTTTTCTTTATCTCTAATAAGGGCATTGTGCATCTGATGTGGTTTGCCACATTCCAGATGAGTTACATACAGAACAAATGCAACATGTTCTACATTTGTTGACTGCACTGGAACACACTGCACTGGTGTGAACTAGGCCTATTGGAATCCATGTTGAAGCATCGTCCATGTGTTTTTGATCCTGGTGTGAACCAGCCCAAAAGGATGTGTGAGCTGAGGAAAAATATAGAGGCTGCCATTGCTGACCTCATTGTGGGAATGTGATTTTCTTGGCCTTTTCTGTCTATAGTATTAGCTGAATGACTGAAGAAAACAGGCATGCAGTCAGTGAAGTCAGAGCTCCAGACCTACATACTTTTCAGTCACTGACTCAAAATGGTGGTGACCTGTAACATATTCAAAAGGTGGAGTTCGCTTTAAGGGCTCATGTACACTGCAGCTGATAAACTCACGTTTAGGAGATGTCCAGTTTTTTTTTTTTTCAGCAGCCCCTGAACTCGCCCTAATGTTTTCCTGTGTGTCCATGTACACATCTTCCTTTACAGTAGTTTACAGGCATTTGCGTTTACAGTCGTTTTTTTGAACGCAGAAAACGTGTGTTCAGCAGTCGATTTTATCAGCTTTTCAAATGCAAAACGCTTGTAAACATGGCAAAATGTGTTTATAAGCGTTTGCAGTTGAAATTTTTTTTTTTAACTCTTCCAGTTCCCAATGCTGTCCAGAACCTTTTTTCATCATGAAAAATGCAAGCAAAGCGTTTCCAAGGTACTCAGATGGACAAAACACTGAACACAGGATGTTCCTATCAAGCTTGTCACACATTGTAATGACCAATTCAGACCTCTCCCACCCTTGGAAACAAAAGATATGTTAATGACCATTCACACCTCAAATTCCTCATGAAGACCCCCTGCCAGGTGGCCTTAATAACTCACTTCACCAGAAACTTCTCCAACCAAACACCATGTGTTAAAAACCAACAAAATGGCCGCGGCGACACTTCCGGTCACTGCCCTAACACGTTTTGTCCCTTCCGGACTTCGTTTTTGAAGTGTATTTTGGTTGCACGGGGTGATTATTGTTTATAAGGGTTTATATTGATTGAAATAGTTAATAATTTACCACTTTTCAGTGCATTCTGGGCATTTGGGGAGGTTCTCCTGTGCTTATATTTAAAAAGGCTTCTAAATGCAAGCGCACATAAACGCGTTATGCAACGCGGCTAAACAGACTTTTTTTAACCTACGCTTTCCAGCAGTCAGTTTTCATCGTTCAGAAGTGTCTCGTGTACATGGGGCCTTATATTAATTTGTTTATCTGATGCATCAGATTCCCAGCTGGAGTCAGTCATTCTTCATTCTTTACACTACATTTTTTTTCTACCTGTGGTCAGATTGCTTGGATTGATGAGTAAAACAGAGTACCATTTATAGAGTACCATTAGGTACTGCATGAAAAAAAATAGGGCAATCAATCAGTGTTAGATTTTTTTCTTGATAAAGGTTCTGCAAACACCTGATTAATGTTAACTGTTTCTGCCTTATTCTCCCTATACTATGGCAATATTGGCAATATTAGAACATACAGTAGATTTAACAGTTTCAAACCTCAATGCGTTAAGTGAATTCCCTTACAGTTTGCAATCAGATCTATTGTTTTAATGATCTGACTTCAATAACCTAAAAACTCAGTGGCATTTCAAATACATTTTAGCTGGAACCCTTATCATTCTATTACAGTCAGTATTATAGTTGAGAGCCATAAGCAGTGTTTTGAATGAAATGTGGTAACAATGCACATTTACAAGAGCCAAAGCAGTGTCACATTGCCAGATCCAGAGAGGTGACATGCTGCACATCATAGAAATGCCAGACTACCAGGCAGAACCAGTAGTCAAGGAACCAGAGACTCTGTGTTGGTATGTTTCCAGAAGCAGGCCTCCCATGTTACTGCAGACAGCAAGGCCGTGCTTCCATGGGCAGAAAGAAGAGAGTCAATGGATGGGGTCATGATTCTAGAAACCCTATTCTAACCCTTCTCTACACCATGTTTTCATTTGATGACTGATTTTCATTTCCCCCTCAAATCTTTCTCACCTTACACCAGGAAAACAGTAAATCAGGAAAATCTCCCTAACGGGTACATACAGCAATAAAAAAAACTGACAGAGGTTCTAATTTTTCCTTACTCTATCCACAACATAAAAAAAGTATTTGAGTACACTTTTATTTAAATTGAAATAGTGGAGTGGTTGGTGTCCTTAGTAGACGGTTTCTGTGAATGCTAATTCACACATCTATAACAAGCATTCATTTTTGTGATGTGAAGCTCTAACACAAGCTCAGCAGCTTGCATATAACCCTGGCAAGTTCAAGGTATCTCTCACGAAGTTCTTTATTTTTCTTGCTGCTCAGGACATCCGGAACTTGACGATATTACTAGTGTCACAAAATGTCATTGTTTTGTTTTGCTATCAGATCAGTCAAGCTGGTTTTATATAATTTATAAATGTGTCTTTTTATGTGTGTCATTTTAAAGTCCAGTCTGTCAAAATGAGAAAAAAAATCCAGACAATCACATTGGCTGATTTGGAAAGAATTTATTTGCAAATTATGGTGGAAATTAAGTATTTGGTCACCTACAAACAAGCAAGATTTCTGGCTCTCACAGACCTGTACCTTCTTCTTTAAGAGGCTCCTCTGTCCTGCACTCATTACCTGTATCAATGGCACCTGTTTGAACTTGTTATCAGTATAAAAGACACCTGTCCACAACCTCAAACAGTCACACTCCAAACTCCACTATGGTGGAGACCAAAGAGGTTGTCGAAGGACACCAGAAACAAAATTGTAGACCTGCACCAGGCTGGGAAGACTGAATCTGCAATAGGCAAGCAGCTTGGTGTGAACAAATCAACTGTGGGAGCAATAATTATAAAATGGCAGACATACAAGACCACTGATAATTTCCCTCGATCTTGGGCTCCACGCAAGATCTCACCCCGTGGGGTCAAAATGATCACAAGAACGGTGAGCAAAAATCCCAGGACCACACGGGGGGACCTAGTGAATGACCTGCAGAGAGTTGGGACCAACGTAACAAAGGCTACCATCAGTAACACACTACGCTGCCAGGGACTCAGATCCTGTAGTGCCAGACGTGTCACCCTGCTTAAGCCAGTACATGTCCTTCTGAAGTTTGCTAGAGAGCATTTGGATAATCCAGAAGATTGGGAGAATGTCATATGGTCAGATGAAACCAATATAGAACTGTTTGGTAGAAACACAATTTGTGTTTGGAGGAGAGAGAATGCTGAGTTGCATCCAAAGAACACCATACCTACTGTGAAGCATGGGGGTGGCAACATCATGCTTTGGGGCTGTTTCTCCGCAAAGGGACCAGGACGACTGATCCATGTACAGGACAGATTGAATGGGGCCATGTATCGTGAGATTTTGAGTGCAAACCTCCTTCCATCAGGAAGGGCATTGAAGATGAAACGTGGCTGGGTCTTCCAACATGACAATGATCCCAAACATACCGCCTAGGCAACGAAGGAGTGGCTTCGTAAGAAGCATTTCAAGGTCCTGGAGTGGCCTAGCCAGTCTCCAGATCTCAACCCCATAGAAAACCTTTGGAGGGAGTTGAAAGTTTGTGTTGCCCAGCGACAGCCCCAAAACATCACTGCTCTAGAGGAGATCTGCATGGAGGAATGGGCCAACATACCAGCAACAGTGTGTGCCAACCTTGTGAAGACTTACAGGAAACGTTTGACCTCTGTCATTGCCAACAAAGGATATATAACAAAGTATTGAGATGAACTTTTGATATTGACCAAATACTTATTTTCCACCATAATTTGCAAATAAATTCTTTCCAAATCAGCCAATGTGATTGTCTGGATTTTTTTCTCATTTTGTCTCTCATAGTTGAGGTCTACCTATGATGCCAATTACAGGCCTCTCATCTTTTTAAGTGGGAGAACTTGCACAATTGGTGACTGACTAAATACTTTTTTGCCCCATTGTATGCTTTGATTAATATGGCTTGCAGACAGTTAAAATGCATATATAATAATAATAATACTGACACCGTATCATAGTGAGCTAAATAATTATTCAGAAAGGTTTGGTTTAAATAAAATGCTAAAAACTGATAACTGGCAGATGCATGTAGGATATTTACAGCTTTGAATTTCAAGGCCAAAAAAAAGTAAATATATCTATGGCATTATGAAAGTTGAATCTAATTAGGAATAAGAATAATAGCATCCCACGTGACCTTGCATTGTTTTCTTTTTCAGGACGAGGAATGGTGTCTTACCATGCACACCACGGTGCAGTCAAATTCCTTGTCATGGCAACTGCTGTGAACAAAAGACATAAGCGGACACCAAGCAGATGTAGTCAAACTTCAAATATGGAACTAAAACCAGAGGACGCTCGTGTTGCCCATGTGCAGCAAAATGAGGAGGGAAATGCAGCTACTGCCAACAATAGCAATGACAGCGCCATTTGGCTCGGTGGCTCCATGGGGTCCATTGCACAAAGAAGTGACTTGTCCTCTTCGTCAGGCTCTCTCACATTGTCTCATGGATCAAATTCGTGTGACATTGGGAAGGATGATTGCACTCTTTATGATCTTTTAAGTGACCCCAGCATGCCACCACAGCATAGCAAAAGACGCGAGCTGGGAAGTTGAAGGCAGACTCTGTCTTGGTAATCTCTGGTGGACAGGGTCACCGAAGAGTAAACAAGAAGCTCAAGCCACAGCGACAGGAAGAGCCGGTTTCTTCTGCTATGGTTTGGCAGATTCCACTGTTACACATTTAACGACCTGCGCGAATAAAGTGAATTTGTCTATAATGTATTCCACTACATTGGTATTCAAGCCTTGTCTTGTCATACACAGTAAATCCTATGTGATCTGTTGAGAATAAGGCCCTATGAAACTGAAAACACAGGGATGGTACTAAATGAAATTGATACACTTTTATCATGCACCTTTTCTCATCATGGTCCAGAAGAAATATATGCTGCTGCCTATGCATAACATCGAGCATTTTCCCTGATTCCCTGTCTGATATAATAGCTAACATTAGCTGCTTTTTTGCTTTGACTGGCATGATGAGCTGCAGAGCATGCTGTCTTTTCTTTTACAGGTAAAGTGAAAAGTAAATATGAATGAATATATACAAATAATATGAAACATATTGGAATGTGATAAGCCATGTGTAACCTTAGAGGACTTACAAGGCAAACTGCCTTCTCTTTGGGAATTTCTTCTGTCAATGAATATCATTCTAGGGTCTTACATTGTTCATTGCACAATGACTGCCAGTAATCGTGTACAATAACTTTACCACTACAGTATATATGTTGGAATATGTGCACATGCAAATTGTGGGTTTCTTCAGCTGCATTAGTGTATATGTGCATGCTGGGAAGTCACAACTAATATGCCCAGGTTAATTGAAATTCTATATACTTAAACTGCCATATGATGGTTTCAAGGCATATTATAAATGAAAGAAAAACTAAAACTGTACTTAAGTAAAGAATAAAAAAAAAAATGATGCTTTGGTCTCGTCTGTGAAATGGATAGTTTTTAGGGGTGTGCTATAATGAAATATCAACTAAAGGCAAAATGTTATATTGCAATCATTGCTATACAACAGAAATTTCATATTTGGTGACATCTTTTTTTTTTTTGGCCACATAAAGTGATGCTGGGGCTGCAGCTTTTATAATCCCAGTACCGAGCCTGATCAGAGGGTTAAAGGTAGATTTTTTACCTAGTACTCCTTTTGAAGGGGGGGGGGGGGGTGTTGTGTTTTTTTTTTTTTGGTTTTTTTTTTTATAACTTCCTCCGACTAGCTTGCCATACTGATATATGCGACAGCAAGGAGGTGGGCCTTATTCTGTGCTGCCACATAAATGCATCACTGTTTTGTATTAGGAGCACACTAAATTGCATGCCCCAGCACTGTGACTGTGCTGTCACTGACAAATTCCAGCCTTTATTGAAGATTGGGGCCATGTTATCACATGATCAGGCTATATATATAGATATATATATATATAGAAAGAATAAGTATTTGATCCCCTGCTGATTTAAAATGTTTACCGACTCACAAAGAGATGATCAGTCTAAAAATCAAATGGTAGGTGTATTGTAACACTGAGATACAGAATAGCACAAAAAATTCAAAATAAATGCATGTCTAACAAATTATGCACTGATTTGCATGTTCATGAGGGAAATAAGTATTTGATCCCCTATCATTCAGCAGGATTTCTGGCTACCAGGTGTCTTTCATACAGGTAACAAGATACTGAGATTAGAAGCAGTCTCTTAAAGGGAATGCTGCTAATCTCATTTTGTTACCTGTATAAAATATACCTGTCCACAGGAGCAATCAAACAATCAGATTCCAAACCCTCCACCATGGCAAAGACCAAAGAGCTGTCCAAGGATGTCAGGGACAAGATTGTAGACCTACACAAGGCTGGACTGGGCTACCAAACTATCGCCAAGCAGCTTGGTGAGAAGGTGACAACAGTTGGTGTAATCATTTGCAAATGGAAGAAACCCAAAACGACTGTCAGTCTCCCTAGGTCTGGTGCACCATGCAAGATCTCACCTCGTGGAGTGTCAATGATCATGAGAACAGTGAGGAATCATCCCAGAACTACACGTGAGGATCTTGTCAATGATCTCCAGGAAGCTGGGACCACAGTCACCAAGAAAACAATTGGTAACACACTACGCCGACAAGGATTGAAATCCTGCAGTGCCCGCAAGGTCCATCTGCTAAAGAAAGCACATGTCCAGGCTCATCTGAAGTTTGCCACTGAACATCTGAATGATGCAGAGGAGGATTGGTTGAAAGTGTTGTGGTCAGATGAGACCAAAGTCAAGCTCTCTGGCATCAGCTCAACTCACAGTGTTTGGAGGAGGAACAATGCTGCTTATGACCCCAAGAACACCATCCCAACTGTCAAACGTGGTGGTGGAAACATTCTGCTTTGGGGGTGTTTTTCTGCTAAGGGGACAGGACAACTGCACCGCATCAAAGGGACGATGGACGGGCAATGTACCGTCAAATCTTGGGTGAGAACCTTCTTCCCTCAGCCAGGGCATTGAAAATGGGTCGTGGATGGGTGTTCCAGCATGACAATGACCCAAAACACACGGCCAAGGCAACAAAGGAGTGGCTTAAGAAGAAGCATATTAAGGTCCTGGAGTGGAGTCTCCAGACCTTAATCTGATTGAAAATATGTGTAGGGAGCTGAAAGTTGGAGTTGCCAAACGTCCGCCACCAAACCTTAATGACTTGGAGAGGATCTGCCAAGAGGAGTGGGCCAAAACCCCTCCTTAGATGTGTGCAAACTTGGTGGCCAACTACAGGAAATGTCTGACCTCTGTTATTGCCTACAAGGGATTTGCCCCCAAGTTCTAAGTCATGTTTTGTGAAGGGGATCAAATATTTATTTCCCTCATGAACATGCAAATCAGTGCATCATTTGTTAGACTTGCATTTCTGCTGAATTTTTTGTTGCTATTCTGTCAGTGTTACAATACACCTACCATTCGATTTTTAGACTGATCATTTCTTTGTGAGTGAGCAAACATTCAAAATCAGCAGGGGATCAAATACTTATTTCCTTCACTGTGTGTGTGTATGTATATGTATGTATATGTATGTATATGTGTATATATATATATATATAATTTTTTTTTTTTTTTTTCCCTGTGTGTGTGTGTATGTATATAGCTCAGGGCTTGAATTAGGCTATTGTCAGCACTGCTGTCAGTGGCAGCATTTATATCAGGGTCTGTTTTAGGTAAGTTTAAAAAAAAAAAGAATCAGATCTGCCTGCTTAGCAGGGGATCTCTCCACTGATCCTCACTGAGCAGGCGGATGACAGGTCCATGTCCGCTCCGCTGCTGCAGACTGACTTCTATGGGGCGGTCGGATGGAAACGGACCACTTGTCCATTTCTACCCGACTGTCATCCATCTGATCCACCAGATAGATGGGGAACAGATTTTTTTTGGCATACAACAGGGGTAGGCAACCTTAAATAGGTGGAGATCTACTTGAACAAGCTGAGAGAAGTCAAAGATCAGCAGGCACAGTGTTGCCTCCTCACACCTATTTAAACCTCTAATTGCCATACTACTGTGCCGTACTACCGCGTCGCAATCGCATGCTTTGCACAGCAATCATGGGTTTAAATCAGGCGGTGAAAAGGCAAAATATCACTTGCAGAGCGGCCTCATTCACTTGAATAGTTTTTGCTTGGCAGGTGCTACACCAACCAACCATGACCGGGCATATAACTCCTGCTGTAACTGTACAGCATGTGTACACCCCTGGCCACTGCAAATGTAAATGAACCCTTACTGTTCTGAGCCTCCTATAAGGATACTTTCACACTGATGTGCTGCAGTTTACCTGCACCACGGATACAGCACAGTGCATCTGAGACTTTCCTGGGTTTGCTGTACTTTGTTATAGACTTCTCTTATATCCTGCAGGTGTGGTGCATTCAGGAGTTTTGGTGCACTTTCAGAAAGTGCATCAAACCCGCAGGATATAGTAGAAGTCTATAGCTTAGCGCAGCAACCCCGGAGGAAAGATGCAGGTACACTGCACTGCATCCGCAGTGTGGGTAAATCATTGCCCTATACTATAATGTCCAGTGTATTGCTTCACACTGACCTGGCAATCTCTTCTTTCCTGCTGCTGGCACCACTCTGGAGGCCATTGCCAGGATAAGTAATGGACTGCAGTTGGTATCACTCCGAATGGGACAGGAGCCAGCACTACAGAGGAGGCATTGGTTTATGCGGTTCTTGCTCCCTACTACAGCTCCAACATTACAAGTAGTCCCCCTGCAATGCACTGTTTGATGCTCTGGGATGGCGGGTCAGCACGCCTGGTTGCTGACCCCCCCCCCCCCCCGGCGTACAGGATCAGATCGGATGCTGGCGGTTTACCTGTTCATAGAGGTCTATGGATAGTCCGATAGGGTCTGCATGAAAAACTGAGAGGTGGACCCGATTGGGCTGTCAATGTGAAAGCGGCCTCAGTGTGAGTGATGGTGCACCATTAGTGTCAAAGTATAAAATGTCAGCATTCAGGTCAGTGCAAATGTTGGTTTCATTGTCTGGGGGATTTAGGTAGGATAAAAAAAAAAATATATATATATATATATATATTTAAAATGTTTTTACAATTTGGGGCTTTTTTTTAAATAATGAAAATAAATCAGGACATAATTACTAACATTTATTACCAAATGAAAGCCAAATTTGTCCTTAGTTTACTAACAAAAGCCAATGTTGCAAAACTGGGTTCAGGTATTAGGGTTTTTTTTTTACCTCCTGTCATTTAAGGGTTAAGTAAAATGGAAGTACACACAGGTGTCCATGTACCTGGAAACTGATAAACATGACCTGTTGGTGTTCCCTGAGGTCAAATTTGAGAAACATAAAATGTGATTGAGATAACCATACAGAGCTATGCCTGGAGAATTCAGCACAGTATAGGTACACTGTGGTGGTGAAGAATGTATTTCATTTTTTTAGCTTTTAGGGCTCAAAGTCCCCGCCATGATCATTATTTCAGCCTCTGTTCTTATTTTTTACATTTTATTATCTTTATTTTGGTAAGGTGGAAAGTTTTAAAACAAGGCGGAAAAAAAAGGCCAAATTCCCACTTCTGCATTTTTATTGTGGGGCATTCACAGCGTGGTGTATTTTTAAATGTGTTTTATTTTTTCATTCATCCTCCTCCCTATGGAAAGTGTGCTTTTTTTGTAAG